TATACAGCAGACGCCGATGGGGCTGCGGGCAGCCAATCACCAGCATTAGCCTTCATTAGCCGCCAACACCAGCATTTACCAGCACGAGCAGCACTCACCGTCGCGCCCCCAGCCAATACATGGAGCAGACGCCGATAGGGTCTATCCATACCCTGGCAGCCATGACCACCCGCACCGCACCAGCCTTGCCATCACCAGCAGCACTTGCCATCACCACCGCCACCTGCAGCACTCGCCGTCGCGATCCCATCCAATGTACATGGAGCATACGCTGATACAGTCGCGGGCAGCCAATCATTAGCACTTGCCATCGTCACCCTCATATACCCCAGCAGCAACTCACCGTCACGCCCCCAGCCGATGTACATGGAGCAGACGCCGATGGGGTCCGTTTAAGCCGACCCAGCACTAGGAATCACGAGCAGCACCACAAGCCGCCAACACCAGCATTTACCACCACCAGCCGCAGCAGCAGCAGCAGCAGCACTCACCGTCACGGCCCCAGCCGATGTACATGGAGCAGACGCCAATGGGGTCGCGCGCAGCAATGAAGGAGTTGTCTCGCGTGTCCAGCAGCACGAATGCGAAGATGCCGTCCAGCTCCTGCACCAGCTCCTCTCCGTGCTCCTCGTACTGGCGGATGGGGGAAGAATAGGTGGTAGAAGAGGGCGAACACGAAACAGCGAATATGAGAGAAGGAAAAATCCTATCAGTTCCTTGCTAGGAGGAACTATCACTGCACCAGCTCTTCACCCAGCTCCTCAATTCGCTCCTGGTACTGGCGGGTGGGGTCGCGCGCAGCAATGAAGGAGTTGTCTCGGGTGTCCAGCAGCACGAACGCGAATATGCCGTCCAGCTCCTGCACCAGCTCCTCGCCCCGTTCCTCGTACTGCCGGGTACGGGGAGATGAGAGAAGAGAAGAGGCAAGCGCTTGTTAGCAGGAGAAAATATCACAATAAAGTGGCACGAAATCCTGCACCAGCTCCTCAACCTGCTCCTCGCCCTGCTCCTCGTACTGCCGGGTGGGGGAGAGGAGGGGAGAGAAGAGGCAAGCAGTTGTAGGAAGAGCAAATGTCACCAGCAGCGGCAGCAGATCCTACACCACCAGCTCCTCCCCCTGCTCCTCGTACTGCCGGCAGGGAAGTAGAGAGAAGGGCGAGGTGGTTGACGGAAAGAACAATCATCACCAGTACCCATTAACAGCAAGAGAACCAGCTCCACGTCCCGCTCCTCGTACTGCCACCAGGAGAGGACAGGTAGGAGGTTCATTCATAGGAGGAGCCTCTCCATCTCCTTGAGGCACATCTTGAAGAACGTAAAATGTCATCCTCTCAAGTGTTAAATGAAGAAACACAAAAATCATGAAAGTCATTAACCACGCAAGGGAACACTCACCAGGTGAGCAATGACTTCGCAGTCGCTCTCCGTGCTGAAGGAGTGCTTCCCCTTGAGGCTCTTCTTCAGAGCCTCGTGGTTGTAAATCTCACCGTTCACCTGCCCGCGCACGAACAATGAAGCAGCACCACGAAATGCAATGAAATTCCACGGGGATTTCACAATCCAGAAGTGTGATTTTTTTTTTTTTTTTTTTTTTTTTTTGTAAAACGAAATATTAGTATCGGGCTAGTGCAAAAATGCCGTTTTTTTTTAACACTCACGCACCGTGACGATGATCTCCTTGGTCTCGTTGTAGAGCGGCTGGTGGCCGGAAGCGGGGTCGACAATAGCGAGACGCTCGTGCGCGAGGAAGTTGTTGTTGTGCACGTGCACGCCGCTCCAGTCCGGTCCTCGGTGCCTCAGCCTAGAAGTTATGAAAAAATCAGAAACATATGACAAGGATGGTTCCCGGAATGTGAATTCAAGGCTCTGGGAAATAAAAACGCCTCGAAGATCGTGGCAGCAGAGAGTCAAATGCACAACGAAATTGCACGCTTTCACTATGCATTTGCATGTGTGCTCTCAGAATGAGATGCTAGGCCCTGTTGGGATCAACATTGGAAGCTAAAACCGACAAAAGCGGAAACCTTATATTCTAATAGCATGCACGCAACGGCGACCAGACGGAAGAAAATTGCTTAGCACTAATCCTTGATCATCCGAGAAAACTTAACAGCGAGATCTCTCTTAACGCGAAGCTCAGAACCTATAGAAGACCAACAACGACCTACACGTGGGATAAGCTCACCTAGCGGAGCACTCCAGCACTCGCGCGCGCATGCCAGGCGAGTCATCGGACGAGCTCAAGCAGGCGAGAATGCCACACATTTTGACTGATCAACGCGATTGTCGACTCGGAAGTGAAGTCAGAAGAAAGAAATGCGGGAGAAGCTGTACCGAAGTTTCTCCTTCGTGCACTAAATAAGTGCACGAAATAAATGCACTGGATGGAGCTGCAGCTCCTGAGGTGAATGCAGGAGACAAAGAACAAAAGCAATCCTTCCCCGCGCAGGAAGGACAATTGAAGATTAGGGCAAACAGGAGCAAGGAAAGTGAGCTGGCTGACGCCTGGACCAGTAATTACCAAGACTTCGGGAATGTGTGTGCTGTTTTATTCTACGGTATGCTCTGGTTCGCAACGGTTGAACGCGGTTAAACGGTAAGTCTAATCTGCTGTGTTTATCACCGTATCCAACCGTAGTGAGCCTTTCGCCTACACATTTTTGTGACAGATTGTGGAGCAGGTTGGACTGCTGCAATCTCGAGCAACGAATACTGGACGTTACCGTCAGCTGAGGTGTAAATTGGGGAAGCCTTCGGAAGACCGTGATTGGTTACTAAATCAGAGCGGCTCCCCTCCCCGTCAATACCACGCCACGAAGGGGGCCGAGAACTACAGTTCCCGAGGGGTTTGGCGACGCTGCCCTATCACTACTCATATAATTACCCCCCGTGGTTATGATACAACGAGTCATATATATCCACGTCAGCAAAAGCTCATCCAGATGGTCCCGAGTTGCTGCTGACGAGGTTTCAGGGTCCACATCAGCAATAGCGACCGCAACTATGTACTCGTTACAAAATGTTTCGGGGAACCATGATTCGAATCAGAGACTTTGAATAACCAACCAACTTGGTAGCATGAGTCCGCCATGGATTCTGCCGAGGAGTTTCCAGTCTAGATCCTGTGCAGGTTCCGTGTCAGATGCCCTCATCAACTATAGATCCGGTCTCCTCGCTACAAGGCGCATCGTTCGATACTACTTTTGTGTCTACAAGTCAGACACTGTATCATTCGTTATCCGAGGACTGGTTTCTTGTCAGGCATCTAACTCCAAGGTTCTGTTTGACTGGTTTCTAACTCCAAGGCTCTGGTTCTCTTTTTTATGGTTTCGGTCTTTCGTCAAGGACTACATTGCATCTATTACGGCTATTTCCTACCATGATCCCGAGGCTTCCACCTCGGTTTCTCATCATCAGCTGCAAGAACAATGGTCCAATGCTTCGGCTTTTTGGGGTTGCGTAGCAACCTTATACATTCGTTTTCACTTTTCGGTTGGCTGATGTGAACAGTGAATTTCTTTTATAAACTTTGAAAGAAATCACTGTTCACATAGCTTCCCCAAAAAAATGAAAACAAATGTTTCCAATCATTCCATAATCGTCGATAAGTACGGCGAATGGAACAATTGGAGAATCGTTTTAGCACTACAGATGATACGGTACCCAATGACACACGAACACAAAGGACAACACAAAAAATACAACAGTACCACCGAGAGACAGACATACACAAATGACCACAAAAACGATGGTGTACAAGAACCGTCTTACATGTTTTGAAGGGAATACTAAATGCATCTATGCAACAACTGAGACTGATATGGTATGGAAGAGGCGAGCAAAGCTGCCCCACCGACGATCACAATCCCAGTTGCATACACGAGACACTTAGCACCACACCCCCAAAACAAGCACAGACGATAACACATAAATGATTACTAAAACACAAGACAACGTTTAAGAAAGTTTCAAGGCGAATGCTAAATGCATCACTGCTGCAACTGAGATTGATATGGTACGGAAGAGGCTAGCAAAGCTGCCCCACCGACAATCACAATCCGAGTTGCATTCAGGAGGCACTTAGCACCACACCCTGAAGCACGCACAACACACATATGCACATGTATACACTCACACACATACAGGCTCACACATATACAGAGACACACAACGCAAAAACATACAGCTACTGTAGTAAGCATGCAAGCATAATGAATGAATTTCAGCCTTGTATAAATTATCACTATCCTGTCCCCCGTTCCCCTCCCTCCCTCCCTCCCTCATTTCCCTCATCTCCCTTCTCCCCATCCCTTTTCTCCGGAAGAAACAAAGGCTGCAGCTTGAACTCCCTGCACAGGAAAGAAAAATCAGGGAATGCAACTCACTCCCTGCACAAACAAGAACAAAATCAGAGAATAAAACTTGCATTAATAGCACAAGAAAACAAAATCAGAGAATTCAGCTTCCTTGATGCACTAAAAAACAAAGTAAGCGCAACAGAAATTCACGCGCAAACTCCCACGTTCTCTCACGCGCTCCCTCATGCGCAACCTCGCGCGCTCTATCGCGCGCACTCTCCCACGCGCTCTTTTGCACACACTCTTGCGCGCTCTCTCTTGCGCACTCTCACGCGCTCTCTCGTGCACTCTCTCGCGCACTCTCTCGCGCACTCTCTCACACACTCTCACGCGCTCCCTCACGCGCTCTCTCACGCGCTCCCTCACGCGCTCTCTCATGCAATCTCTCATTCGCACTCTCACGCGCACTCTCACTCACGCGCTCCCTCGCACGCTCTCTCAGGCGCGCTCGCTCTCACGGGCTCTAACACGCACTGTCACGCGCTCTCTCACGCGCTCTTTCACGAGGAAAGCAAAAAAACAAACAAACAAAAGAAGAAGAAGAAGAAGAAGAAAGTTTTTTCAGAGGGAGGAGGGAGGATGAAAGAACCGGGAACGCACCAGATAACCACGGTAACTCAGAAAACAACCCGGGCTCGCGCACTAATCCGCGCTCGCGCACCAACTCACGCTTGCGCTCGTGCACCTGTCGCCGGAGGCGATGGCGGGGAGGAGGAAGAGGCGACGGCGGGGAGGAGGGAGAGGCGACGGCGGGGAGGAGGGAGCGGCGACGGCGGGGAGGAGGGAGAGGCAACCGCATGGAGGGAGAGGGGACGGCGGGGAGGAGGGAGAGGCGACGGCGGGGAGGAAGGAGCGGCGACAGCGGGGAGGATGGAGCGGCGACGGCGGGGAGGAGGGAGAGGCGACGGCGGGGAGGAGGGAGAGGCGACGACGGGGAGGAGGGAGAGGCGACGGCGGGGAGGAGGGAGAGGCGACGACGGGGAGGAGGGAGAGGCGACGGCGGGAAGGAGGGAGAGGCGACGGCGGGGAGGAGGGAGAGGCGACGGCGGGGAGGAGGGAGAGGCGACGGCGGGGAGGAGGGAGAGGCGACGGCGGGGAGGAGGGAGAGGCGACGGCGGGGAGGAGGGAGAGGCGACGGCGGGGAGGAGGGAGAGGCGACGGGGGGGAGGAGGGAGAGGCGACGGCGGGGAGGAGGGAGAGGCGACGGCGGGGAGGAGGGAGAGGCGACGGCGGGGAGGAGGGAGAGGCGACGGCGGGGAGGAGGGAGATGCGACGACGGGGAGGAGGGAGAGGCGACGACGGGGAGGAGGGAGAGGCGACGACGGGGAGGAGGGAGAGGCGACGACGGGGAAGTAAGGAAGAGGAGATCGCGGTGTGGGACTGAGTGATTGTGAGGTGAATAGGAGAGGTGAAGGCGGGTAGTGAGGGAGAGGATACGGCGGGATGGGAGCGAGAGCGACGGCTGGGTGGGAGAACTGGCGAGAAATTGGGGTGGGGGGAAGGAAGAGGAATAAGAGCAGAGCAGGTGTGCTTGTCGAGTCGAGAGGAACCAGAACAAAAGAACCAAGAAAAGAGCGCAGAAATTGAGTTGACAGCTGTGAAAGGGACGGATGCCAGCGCAGAGATAAAATTTCTGCCGGCGCAGAACGAGAATTTATGCCAGCGCAGAACAAGACAATTTCTGCCACCGCAGAACGATACAATTTCTGCCAGCGCAGAACGAAGCACCATATACAGTGTCCTGTTTTAAGTTAAAATGAAGAACTTAATTAATTGCTTCTTTAAGCAAAATATGATTATATTGTACTCTTTCATAATGTTCCTTATACACGGAATACAGCTCTACGCAACCCTTCCGACGTCAACGTCGAGTCTTGTTCCTACTTAACCAGTCTGTGCTCAGAGTTATGGCATCAGCTCAGACATCACTGGTCTGTTTTCCAGCTTCACAGCCATTCCTTACTCATCATCGCACGATGCCTCCCAAAGGGAAGCCAAAGGCTCTGACGGAGGCTGTACCGCTGGAGTTTCCACCATCACCCGTTGGTGCCTCGCCCTCCTCTCCTGCTCCTGCTCCTGCTGCATCTGAACCTGCAGGCAAGGGTAGAGGCAGTGCTGAAGTTTCTGGCAATGTGTCTCACGCTGAAGACACAGCAAGCGCTTCCGGGCTCTCCTTGGAGGAAAAGCTGCGCTCTCTGCGTACGGCTGCTCATGACAGCGGCTTCCTCGAGGATGACTCCGACGAGGAACTTGAAGTCAATGTCAGGACGGAGGCTTTCAACCATGTTCGCTTTACGGCGATTCTTCTGCTTCCGGTGGCCCTCGCCTTAGAAGTGGCTTCAGTCATCACCACGGTCCGGACCTTGATGAGGCGTGTGTGGTCTTCAACGCTTTCTGATGGTGCTGCTGACTCGGCGAAGTTCCAAGAACTCCTCCCGGCATACGTGGCGAAGACCCGCTACAGTCGGCTGCAAGTCTCCCTCCTGCGCGAAGAGGATATCATGAGCATCAGGTCAAGGGAGGTTGACTACACGCGTCCTAACGGCACGGTGTTCAGACTCTACTGGCAGCACACTGACAATCCCGCTTTTGTGCGGGAACGGGCGACAAACGCTCAGGTGATCGAAGTGGTGATCCGCGATGTACCTGCGACGAAGACGCCTGAGATGTTGCGAGAGCTGTTGGCGGTCTACCAGTTGCGGAATCGGAAGCGTTCGGCGTTTAAGGACGGAATCTGCTTCCATCGCGTTCTGCATCCGGTCACTGATGCCGATACCGACGTCATCAAGGGTCTTGTGGTCCCGCATCCTGGTGACCGCTATCGCTGGCGTCATGTCTTCCAAGATCCGTCCGAGATTGGTCGTTGCTACTTAGTTCATTTCCCCGCGCTGTCTTGCCTGCTCTGCGGTGGGCAACATTATGACGTCAATCATGACGCTTTCATGACGGAGCGGCAAAACAACATAGGAAAGTGGAACCTTACCTTGGGAAGGGTTCACCGCCTCAACGGCAACTGCTTTTTTATCCATGATCACTCTCTCCGCGTTGTGCTTACTTGTGCTGACTGTCAAGTGGTTCCATGCAGCTGCTTCTCTTCCGGCTTCGCCGCTGATCACTCCTATTCTGCTGGACCCGGCGATCGTGCTCATCTCCACCGGAGGGAACCGGGAGGAGTGGATCTGCACTCAAGTGGGCTGCGGGAAGGCCAAGGGGAGGAGCTTCATCTCTGCAGCGGACCACATCACGTCGGCCAACCACCTTATTCATCTGGAGCAACTCGGCTCTGCCACGCGCGTTTCTCTCGAAAAAGCGAGTCTCACTGTCACCAGGAAAGATTACGGGATTTGAGGCAGGTTCAACTTGTCAGTCATGCAGCAGCAACGGCAGTAGGTCTCCCAGTTGTCAGCGTCGTACCCTTCTTTACCCTGTGGATGCGTAGGGGTTCTCAGATTGTTATCAAATGAGTAAGAAAAGCCTTATCAGCTTCGCAGGCCTTAATGTCAACGGCCTTGGTGACAAAATCAAACAGCAATGTGTCTTAGACTGGTCCAGACAAGCAGCTGATATCATAGTACTCTCCGACACCAGGTTAGCCTCAGACCATCCTCTCTGGACTCCTCCCACTTACAGTTTTGCTGCCGCTACTTCACCTAGGTCAAAGGCTGGCGGCGTGGCTTTGCTCTGTCGTTCGCAGCTCTTACGTTTTAGCAACCCGATCTCACGCGCTGCTTTTGTTCGCGACGATCTCGGTCCGGTAGTTGATCGGGTCTCGCCGTCCAGTCACCTGCTCATCATGGGGGATCTCAACATCATAGAAGACCCTGTATTAGACAAATCATCGCGTTTAGGTTCATCTGCTGAAAACGGCAGACTTCTCAACCGCTGCAGCGCTTTCCAGCTATCAGACGCCTTTAGAACGTTATATCCACGAAAACGTGAGTTCACGTTTTTCTCGCAGGCTCAGCAAGTAAGTTCGCGCATTGACCGGGCTCTCGTCTCCCACTCGCTGCTTCCGCATTTGATCCAAGCCTCGCACGTTATGCCGGCGGACTTCATCTCAGATCATGGTTTCGCGGTCCGTATAGCCCTTCGTATGGATGACAAGCTTAGCATCGGTCCTGGGCTCTGGAGGCTTCACGCCTCATTGGTGCAGAAACGCGGTGTCCGGGCGATTGTCGAGGCAACAGTGGCGAGGTGCGCTGTTGCGGATGGGAGCAGCTTTGAGCTGTTGCTCACAAGATTGGCGGCCGGTCTTCGTGCTTTCGCGAAGGAGGAAGGTAAACGTGTTAAGGCGACGGCGACTCATCTGGTGGATGCTGTCGCCAGTCTCCGACAGGCGTTGATGCGTGATTCAAACTGCAAGCAAACGAGTGAGCGGTTAGCCGTGAAAGAGGTGCAGCTGCGGGAATATCAGGCATCACGGAAGGATAAGCTGCACCTGATGTCGGGTTTGCGGACGGAGCTCAGAGGGGAGGTGGCGTCACAGCATCTGACGGCGATGGTGCGGGCAAGGAAGGCGTGTACCCAGATCGCGGAACTGCAGACGGCGAGCGGGGTGGTGTCTGACTCTCCGGGGATCCTTCGGGCAGCGTCTGCCTTCTTTGCTGATATCTTTGGGAGAGACCGTTGTCAACATGAAGCAAGATGGCGGCCTGTAAAAGAAAAGACGCTACGGGCATGGGAGGCAGAGGAGCTGTCCGCAGATTGGACGGAAGAGGAAGTGAAGAAAGCCTTTAGTGCGATGGCGGCACATAAGTCTCCAGGCAAAGACGGCCTCCCCAAGGAGCTCTTCGAGGCTCATTGGGACCTGCTAGGTCAGGGATTCATGGCTCTTGCCAGGGATTTCGCACAGACTGCAGTGCTCTCGACGGATGTGAAGGAAGCGGTGACGATCCTGCTGCACAAAAAGGGCGACAAAGATCAGCTCAATAACTACCGTCCGATCACGCTGCTCAATTTCACGTACAAAGTGCTGGCGCGGGTCATGGCGGACAGAATGAAACGTTTCCTGGGGAGGGTGATATCGCCGGAGCAATATGGGTTCCTGCCAGGAAGGCGGTTGACTGACGCAGTGGGGCTGGTCGCGGACATCATCGACACCGCGCGAAACGACAACGAGGATTGGTTCCTCCTTCTCGTGGATTTCAAGAAAGCCTTCGACTCGGTCTCACGTGGCTACCTTTTCCGAACGGTGAGAGCGATGGGTTTCCCGGATCGGTACATGCGTTGGGTGGAGGGCCTGCATGAAGGAACGCGAACGAGGTTGTTAGTGAACGGCTGGATGGGGGAAGGGGTGGAGGTGGTCTCTGGGGTTCGACAAGGCTGCCCCCTCGCGCCTTACCTGTTCTTGTGTGCGGTCGAGCCGTTGGCGCATACGGTTCTGAAAAGGAAGATGGGCATCAGCAAATCGAGTGAGAGATTGGCGTACATTGGGTATGCGGATGACACCACTCTGGTCCTGGAAGGGACGAAGCAACTTATTAGAGCAGAGCAGGTACTGGCGAATTTCGAACTGGCCTCTGGGCTGGCGACAAATCGGGACAAATCGGTTGTCTTACCTTTGGGCAACAACCTCGGTAAGACGTCTGGCCGTACGCACAGTTTCAGATGGGCGAAGGAGGATGAAGCCGAAAAGTTGCTGGGTGTGTGGGTCACTCCCTCCGGAAGCTGCCTGCCAACATGGGAGAAAACTTCGGAGGACATCTCGGGTAAAATAAAGAAATGGGAGCATAAGTTTCTGCCGACAATGGCGCGCACGGCGGTTGTCAACAGCTACATGATGCCGAAGGCAGCTTTCCAGGCGCAGGTCTACCCGCCGCCGGCGGTTCAATGGGGGTTCATCTCCAAGACGTTTGAGAATTTCGTTTCCGGCAACAAAGCAACGGCAGACAAGGTTTTCCGCCTATGGAGCAGGGAGCTGTTATACGCTCTGAGGAACATGGGGGGAGTGGGAGTCCAGGACCCGGAGATGATCTTGGCTTGCCTCACGGCAAGGAGGGTGGGATTGTTGGCGTTGGAGACTAATCGTCTGAAGAAACATCTCATGCTGCGTGCTGCGGATCTTCCTATGGGCATCGAGACCTTCTTTGCTCACGAGAAGCTGCTGAAGCACTGGGAAGGGAAAAGTGCTCGCTGGAAGGTGGCGTGCGAGAATTTCATGCGATCACCGCTAGGGGTTCTCCCTGTGGCGAATACCAGAGAAGCTGTGGAAGGGGAGCGGATTGTATTCAATAGGCGTCTTCTAATCAACGGAACCACACCGGTAGGGGGACAGCGTGACGCAAAGCCATTGTGGGAGAAACGCCTTGGTGACCTGATCGTGACTGGTGACAATGTTGCTCCTGAGCTGAAGGATACAGCCACCCTGGAACGGGAACTTGGGGGGAAGGGAGCCGCGAGGTTGGCGAGGAAAGCGTTTGATGCTGCGCCTCAGGAGTGGAAGGCGCTGTTGCTCAGTGCTCCCCCTCTGTCACCCGGCTCAGCGGGGGGCAGGCGGGTCTTCAGCTCCGCAGGGCGCAAGCTCACCGATTTCCCCATCTTTGACAATGGGGGAATTGCGCCCCTGAAGCGGTTAAAGCTGCTCTGGAGGGAGGGGCAGAAGCCATCAACGAAGCAGCAACTGTGGCAGGGCAGGTGGAATGGGTATATCAACTGGAAAAGGACTATTGCCATCCGGGACTCTTTAGCTACTCCAAGTAAGCCACGAGACGTTCTGCTGCGTATCCACAACCTGAACCTGCAGGTGGGAGAACGGGTGGCGTTTTTGAGCAGTAAACCGACCTGCCCGTACTGTGGTGGTGTAGAAACTCTTGAGCACTGCCTCTACAGTTGCCCCAAAATTCAGGTGGTGACGTCTGCTCTGCTGAGGTCCCTTCGCATGCTGAACAGCTCGCGTGTGGTGTCGTCACTGGGTGACCTGTTATTCCGGAAGGCGGGGGTCAGCACGGCATTTCCGGAAGCCACGCTTACATCCATTACACTTCATCAACTGTGGGCGGAGCGGTGTGATGCTGTTTTCAGGGGGACAAAATTCCGAACGAGGCGGGTTCTCCGCCGCGTGGAAGCTGCTTTCCGCCTGCATGCACGTATCTACACGAGGTCGAGGGACGCTGAGTGGAGGAAGCGCCGGGGTTCGCAACACGAGGGGAAATTCCGCCGCGTGATGGAGAGTGAGAACAAACTACTGTTTCGGATCAGGGACAAGAACAGCAAGTCGTGGACGTGGACGAATGCTTTCGCGAACCTCTGGCTCATGCCGAGGAGGAATCGCCAGCCTCCTTAGATGTCACACCTGGGGTAACCACGTGGGTGCCCCTCAAGCGCAGTTACGACTGTTATTGTTCATGTATGCTTGTTCTTTCGGTGTACGTAGCAATTACCCTTAAAAAAAAAAATGTTTCGGGATCGCGTTTATTTGTACTGCGTTCACAGCAATTAGATTCTTCAAGAAGGTGCCTAACTGTCCAGCAAGCGAAAGAAATAACAAAGAAATCCAACAACTGGCTCGACTGACAGGTAACCAGACCGCATTCCAGAGCCACTGACCAGAAGTCCGCGCCGCATCCCTGGTTCAGCTGGGCCAGGCGACCCGCGCTCACGGCTCCGCCGCAGGGCAAGGTCCACAATTGTTTTTTCAGTTCGGTCAGTCACACAACTACGTTATTCTGGAATTGGAGGAACTGAGCAATAGCCCTAATAAAAACCTCCCACTTTCGCGTTGTGGAAGATTTGCTCCCCTTCCCCTTCCAGGAATACACTGAAAGGCTATGGCACAAATTTTGGCACCAGTACAGAATTGGCTCCAAAAACTGGGAGATCGGGGTCATTACCTTCCAAACACAAAAACCTTACGTTTCCGCCCTTACTTCTGCCCTGGATCTTCCACCAAGCATCACCTGCTCCAGCACAAATTCCATGTCGTTCCTTCTGACGGAAACTCCTGCCCATCGCTTCTGCTGCGGGCAGTGGGGCCGCCATTCAACTCCACTGATTCAGCCGTCACTGCAGGCCGCTCGACTCGTTTGTTCGCACACCATGTCGGCCTCAGGAATCCAGCTGCATCAGTCTAATGACAAGGTCAACGAGTATGCTCGGGACCCAACTCGAGCTTTCGTGCCTTGAATCTAGAGGCTGCATTGAGTCACCAGCAGCAGCAAGCGAGTTTCCTTACAGACAGCCGGGATTCGAAATTCCTACCATCCTACCTAACAATTCCAGATACGAGAGCATTCACCCGAGAAATCCAGCCTTTGTACCTCCACATGCGGGCAGTGTCGCCTCGTACCACCACGGGGGCAGTGTTTCCGCGTAAGTAAACTTTCTAACTTCGTTCCACATGGTCACTTCGATTCAGCGCACCTCTTCGCGTCTAAGGCGCAGATTCCCCCAATCCTCAAGTCGCACCAAGCTCGCCGTCGCACAAACGCTCCCGTGCGAAATGCGACTCGCCGGCCCACTCACAAGCATGAGTATGTCGCATCAACTTCTCGTTGATATGATGAAGCCGCGAAGACCGATCCGCACGCCAGGAATCATGGCCTGCTTTCTCCTCATCGTAATGGTGCTAGTTTCGTTTCATCCTGTTACCACTCTCGCGAAAGGGCATTCAGTTGGCGAGCAATTGCTGTTACCGCATGAAGAATCGCGCGTCGTTTCGCAAAACATGGAGATTCTCCTCGCGACCGGAACGAACCAAGAATTTCTGCAGGCGGCGGCGGAAACCGTCGGAAAAAACGTCGGAACAGGCGGAAATTCCCTGTGGAAGGGCGGAAAGAAAAATAAGGGCAAGACAAAGAGGGAATGGCTAGGCAAGAGTAACGGCAAGCGCGCAGGGAGCAAGAGCGGAAGCGGGATAGCCGGCGGGACGGAAGCCTTTCTCGGCACTCTCAAGGGCGGTGGAAAGGGGAAGGGGAAGGGCGGGGGAAACGGAGGGCGGAACGGGAATAAGGGGAAGAAGGGCTCTTGGGGAATCGCGCTGCGCAGTCTGCCGATTTGGAACGCCGCCAAGTTCCAGCTGAAAGCGCGCCGAGCCGCCGCGGGGTTGAAGCAGGCGATGGCGCAAGCGGGCACGGCGCGCGGGCAGGCGTTGAGCCTCGTGCGCCAGTGGTTAGCGGAAGGAGCGCGCGCGGGCGCGGGTGCGGACACGCGTGATATGTGGACGCAGGTTGCGCGCGACTGCGTGCACCAGGTATGACGCGAATGGAAACGTATGTGCGACGCCGGCGTCGTGAGACGCGATATTGGGAGTCGCGATATTGTGTGACGACGCAGTGCATGTTATCAACATCAGCGGAGAATTATGGCAGCTACAATGAGCTGCGTAACATCATCGCGTGAACCATGGAGAATTATGTGGGCAATTGGGAAACGGAGAAGGCGCAAGCCCCCCCCGTCCGCGCCCAGCTACCCGTTCTCCCCCCATTCCTTACCCCTCCTCCCCTCGCTTTTCCCGCCCGTCTTCCCCTTCCCCCCGAATCTTCCCCCCATCCTCCCGTCCCTCTCCCATCCCTTCATTTCCCCCCCGGATCTTCCCCCCATCTGCCAGCTGTCGCTCGCGCAGCTCAGCTTGGATCGCGCGGCGGAGATTCTGGAAACGGGCGACGCGGACGCGTCGGACGTGGTCTTTAAGCTCTCGGGCGCTGCTACGATGGCGGACAACTGTCAGGGCGCGTTCGATTTCGTGCGGCGGACGGAGGACGCAGCAGCGGGGGATGGCGGAGGAAGCGGGCGGTATGGCATGACTGCGCAAGTGCGGGTGAGTTGGGAGTGGTGCGCGGAGAGCTGGCACGCTGGCTGGGTGGACGGGCAAAAACAAACTGGAACGAACAGTAGTGGGCACTGTCTCTCACCTCCCATTCCGTAGTCCTCACTGCCCTTACCTTACCCCATCGGTGTCCATTCCCCACCTACTTTTCCCATCAGGAAACAGCAGCGGGGCTTCGGAATTCCAATGTGGCGCTCCAGCAGCAGACCCTCGACCTGCAGCAGATGGCAGCTGCTGCTGCAGACCCAGAGTGACAGCTGAGAGCCTCATGGTGTCTCAGAGTGACTCCTGAGACTGGCAGTAGAGGGCGGTATCCATGCCTCACCTTCTAATCCCTTCTTCCCTACTGCCCTGCCCTGTTGGTGTCTTTTCTCCACCCACTGGTCGCATCAGGAAACGGCGGCGGGTCTTCGTGATTCCATTGTGGCGCTACAGCAGCAGACTCTCGACCTGCAACAGATAGCAACTGCTGCTGCCGCTGCTACGGATGATGCTGGTGGTGGTGGTTCTGATGCCGCTGCTTCTGCTCCTCCTGCTCCTGCCTCTGCCGCTCCTGGGGACGCTGGTAATGCTGATGCTGTTAAAAGCAACGATGCTCCTTCAGATTCGTCGAATGACGTGGCGCCACCACCCCCATCCTCGACCCAGGAGGACGTGGCGGTCCCAGCCTCTCCCAGCGGGAACGACCAGAGCACCAGTGAAGGGGGGCCACGTGGCAGCACAGTAGAATCATCGCCGGTCAACGGCCAGGATGGTGCCGCGGCATCTGACAGTCGATTGTTGGCCGAATCGTGGCCGTACATGATGGGAAGCGTTGAGGGAGAGGTGGGGAGGAGAAGGAGGAGGGTGCAGGAGGGGGTGGTTGCTGGGGAGAGAGGGGGAGAAGACTGGGGTGTAGAAGATGGGGGGGATATTGAGAAGGAGGCGGGAGGAGTTGAGGGGGAACAAGTGGAAGGAGGAGAGGGCGGGGAGGGGGAAAAAGAGATGCTAGGAGGGGTAGTGGGAGAGGCAGGGGGAGGCGAAGAAGGAGAACTAGCGGGGGAGATAGTGGGAAATGAAAAGGATACGAGTTCTCAAGACCCATATTCGGACCTTGATCCTTATGTGGGCCCCACTGAATCTTCCTCTGACGTCTCTGACGACGTGGAAGGCCAAGCTTCTGACGTGGAAGTCCCCCCTGCTGACGTGGACAACCCCACTGCCAGCGCAGAACCAGCAGAAACCGAGGGCCAGAAACGCACTCCTTCCTCCCCTTCCTACTCCTCCCTCCTACAAGCCAACGGCACTGCTGACCCCCCAACCGCACCCCCCTCTTCCCCCCCGCCCACCCCTCCTCCTCCTCCCCCCAAAAAGCCCCCAACGCTCCCCCCCGATTGCCCCAAGCCCATTGTGCGCCCTCCCCCGCTTCTTGCGCCCTTCTCCATCCCCCGCCTTATGCCAAACCTGGTGGTGGCACAGGATGGGTCCGGGGACTTCACCACTATCCAGGTAAGATTCTATTTTCTAGCTGAATTATTTGTATACATGATGAGCAGCTTTCTCCACTTATTCCACTACCATATCCTGCTCGTTTGATTTCTTATTCCAATATCCTTTTGAAAGAACCTGTTTTATGTGTTCTTATTCTGTTTGTTCGCCCACGCAATGTACAGGAGGCGCTTCTCGCAGCTCCCAAGAAGCCCAAGGGCCGATTCGTGATTCTCGTGATGCCAGGTGTTTACAGCGAGCGCTTCGAAGTGGGGAAACCCAACATCACGCTCGTGGGACTGAATCCAGCACTCACAATAATAACCGGAAACGCAAGTGTCGGCAGCAATTACACCACATTCAATAGCGCCACAGTTGGTGAGATAAACAGTTTGTTTGTTTACGGGCTAATTCATGCGTAGGAGGCGTCTGGTTTGAATTTTGAGACGCAAGGCGGAAAAAGTGGACATCACTGAGTAGGTCAGCTTGCTCTTGTGCTTCTCCCAAATCCCTACCTATCCCCTTACCCCACATTCTCGCACCTCCCCCACCCACTTCCACTCCTTGCCATACCCTCTCCCTCCATCTCTCTTTCAGCTATTGAGGGTGACTATTTCGCAGCGGTCAACATCCGATTTGAGAACACAGCAGGCAAGATCAACAACCAGGCTGTGGCGCTGAGGGTGTCGGCAGACCAATGCGCGTTCCACAACTGCGAGTTCTGGGGCTTCCAGGTGAGAATTCATCGGATGCATGTGCATTGGTTCATGTGGATTTGGGTTTTGATGTGGGATTCATGTGGGATGGAATGCTAGGTGGTGCGGGATCACCCGTGATATGGAGATTCAGGTGATGGGGGATTAGTGCATCACAATACCAGGAAGACGTCAATCTGCCTTCCACAACTGCAGGAGCTGCAGCGTTCAGGTAAAAGGACATGAGTGCAAGTCAGGGGTTCATGTAAATTTCTGTTTGTAGCTTTCATTACATAACAGGAAGTACTGAAAATTTATCTTATCCTATTCCCCTACCTATCCACTCTCATCCACTTTAACTTTGCTGAATGCTTCTCAACCGCACTCACTAACATTGTCTTTAGCCAATTTTTCGCAATAACCCTCCTCGCCTTCAGGATACACTCTACACCCACAGCGGCCGTCAGTACTACAGCAACTGCTTCATTACCGGCAATGTTGACTTCATCTTCGGAAACGCAGCTGCTATTTTTGACAACTGCACCATTCAAATCCGCCAGCACACCAGTGGCGCCCCTGTTGCAGCCTCCAGCCGCCAAACCCCCACCGACCCCACGGGCCTCGTCATCATGAATTCCCGGGTAGTTGGCGAAACCACCCGTTGCGTCACGGGCTTTTTAGGCCGCCCTTGGAAGAGCTACGCACGTGCAGCGGTGATAAACTCGTATCTCGCGCCTCAAATCAGTTCACTTGGATGGATGGATTGGAACGGGCAGGTGAACGATACCATAAGCTTTATCGAGTTCAACAATACAGGGCCAGGGTCGAACGGACCGCGCGTGCCGTGGCTGCGGCCGGGGATTCTAGCGAATGCGACTGCAGTGAGTGACTTCTTACCAGAGAAGTTCCTGTACCCGTTTGGTGTGATCCGAGCGCTGCTTCCGTGGCTGTGAGCCGCCTTGGTCAGTGGCTTGTGACAGTTGCTGCAGTTTGGGTAATCAGTGGTGTGACTGAAACCGTAAGTCGGTGGGTGTGTCTGGCTCAGGGCATTGTGTAAGATAGGACCACAGCAGGGTGACAAGGTGACAGGATGACAGGGTGACGGGATGACAGGGTGACAGGATGACAGGGTGACAGGATGACCGGGTGAATGGATGACAGGGTGATAGGGTGACAGGGTGACAGGGTGACAGGGTGACAGGGTGACAGGGTGACAGGGTGACAGGGTGACAGGGTGACAGGGTGACCGGGTGAAAGGGTGACATGGCGATAGGTTGACAGGATGACAGTGTGATGAGATAGGGCTGTGGACTGGGTTTTGCTCAGCTGCGAGCTATGGGGGTTTCGGACACGTGTAGTGCCTTTCATAGGAAGGGCACTCAATCCCCATGCGTGTGCTTTGCGCAAGCACAGGCAAGGAGTGGACTGCTGCAGTAGTGGATTGAAGTGCTAACTGCATATGCATGTGTTCTCATTATCCACGTGGTGATGTGGATTTGATGTACTGTACTGGCATTACTTGACATGCTATTTTGTGATTGTGAAGTCCAAGCTTTGCGCACTGTGATGAGATACGGTACTAGTACGACCAAACCTTGCGCACTGTGATGCGATACTAGTACGACCTCACCAGAGGCTGATAAAAATAATCGATTGAATGCATATGTTACAAGTGCAATTGAGCGAGCGAGCGAGAATTGCACAATCGAAGCAAAACAATACAATGAGCGAAAGCACGAGCGAAGAATGTATAGCGAACCTAGTGTGGTAACGGTAACGCGAGAAAATGGGGTGCGCTACGGGCCTAGCGCCAAGGTTGGGAAATGTCGAGGCGGAGGTCCGGAGCGCGGGTTACCAACCGAACCGTGAGGTTGGGTCGCATCGTGAACAGTGGCGGGAGTCGTAGTCGAGGCGAGTGTCGCGAGCAGGTAACGTTTCACTGTTGGGTGCCGATGGCGGGAATGGCCATGTACGCGGTATGCAGGGGCGCGAAGTAAGGAAAATGAAATTTCCTTACACAAACCCCCTCCCCAAGGAGGCCCTCCTTACGAGAGCGCGTGTACATCTCGAAAGTTTCGGCTGCGTAGGTGCTCGGTGAGGACAGGGTGGTTCTCGATTCTATCCAGGGGAACCCAGTTGTCTTCGGTGGGTGTGCGGTCTTTCCAACGGATCAGAAATTCGATCCTGCGGGCTCCCTGTGGGTCACGAACTCGGTGGCTCAGTATCTTTTCAAGCGTGATGATTGGCTCTGCCGGTGGTCGTGTCATGCTGGCGGGGCGGTTGCGAGGCAGTTGGCTGATGGATGGGACATATGGGCGAAGCAGGCTGACGTGGAACGACGGGCTAACGTACCAATCAGCAGGGAGGAGGAGGTGGGCGGTTACGGGGGTGATCATGTGGCTGATGTGAAATGGCCCGCAATATCAGGGGCGGAGTTTTGGAGTGATGAGTAGGCGGAGGTTTTGAGTGTCCAGTAATATCGGTGTCAAAACTGTTATAGTGCTTACTTTGTGTAGGCTGTAGTGGGGTAGCCCATAAGGGGTACAACCCAATTAGGGCTAGTACTTGTACAATCCAATCATTCTGTTCAATCCAATCATTCTCGTTCTATAGTTTGACATGGTTTCAGAGCAGGTCCTTCCCTAGGACCGACTTTTTTTTTTCGGGCCCACCACAGAGCTGCCCCACTGGCTGCCCTGCCGCCCTGCCCTAACGGCGCGCCGCCATTAGCAGCCCACGCGCCGCCCTTAGCAGCCCGTCGCGCCGCCCTTAGCAGCCCGCTCGCCGCCCCTGCAGCCAGCGCGCCACCCATGCAGCCCGCTCGCTGCCCCTGCAGCCCGCTCGCCGCCCGCGTGCGGCCCGCACGCCGCCCTTGCAGCCCGCTCGCCGCCCGCTTGCGGCCCACTCGCCGCCCCTACAGCCACCTCGCCACTCGCCCGCGGCCCGCTCGCCGCCTCTGCAGCCCTCTCGCCGCCCGCTTGCGGCCCGCTCGCCGCCCTTACGGCCCGCTCGCTGCCCACTTGCGGCCCGCTCGCCACCCCTTGCAGCCCGCGAGCCGCCCTCTGGCAGCCTTCTCGCCGCCCCTTGCAGCCCGCTCGCCGCCCCTTGCAGCCTGCGTGCTGCCCCATTGCAGCCCGCTCGCCGCCACTTGCGGCCCACTCGCCGCCCCTTGCAGCCCGCGCGCCGCCCGCTGGCAGCCCGCGCGCCGCCCGCTGGCAGCCCGCTTGCTGCCCCTTTGCAGCCCGCTTGCCACCCTCTGGCAGCCCGCTCGCCGCCCCTTTGCAGCCCTCGCGCCGCCCCCTTGCAACTGCTTGCGCCGCCCGGCTACAGCCTGCCCTGCTGCTGCCCGCCCTACTGTGCGCCGCCCTGCTGGCCGCCCTAGCCGTGTGCCGCCCTCCCCTGCCCTGCGCGCTTCCCAAGTGCTCGCACGTCGCCCTGCCTGCATGCTGCTCTGCTGGTAGCGCGCCACCCTGCTCTGCCCGCTATGGCTTCTCTCAGTGTACTCACCTTCGATCATGAGGGCCGTCCGATCCAGTTCGATACATGGCTCGACGACTTACAGCTGTACCTACTGAGCGATTCTAGAGACATCGTTTCGTTGTTTGATCACACGTTTGGAGCCTCTCTCGCCCCTCCCGCCACAGCTGACAGTGCGACTCGCTCACAGTGGCTTACCCGTGACGTTGCTGCTCGCTTAGCCGTTCGCAACCACATGCCGTTAGCCGAACGCGATCACTTTGGCCAGCACAAGACTGCTAAAGCACTGTACGACGCTGTAGTCGCTCGTTACTCCTCCCCTGGCATTGCTGCTCTAGGCCGCCTTATATTGCCCTACCTGTTTCCCGAGCTGTCACCCTTTGCTACAGTCAAGGACCTCGTCAGCCACCTCCGCACTAGCGACGCTCGCTACCGCACTGCCCTCCTAGCAGAGTTCCTTGACAGGAACCCACCCCCGATGTACATCACCCTCTACTTCATAGTCACCCGCCTCCCTGACTCTCTTTGCGCTATCAAGGACCACTTTCTCACACTTGACCCCACTGACCTCACTATCGACCTGCTCGAGCGGCACCTCCTTGCAGCTGATTCTCTCGCCTAGACGACGCTTGGTGCGTAGAGTTTGGTGACGAGGCTCAGCGCCCCCGCTGGGCAGAGCTGCTTAGGACTGGAGTTGATATCTTTGCTCTTGACTATGATGCTATCCTTGCTGCCATGTATGCCTTGTCTGTTAGTGCTGAGGGTGAATGTTACCTGTGTGTGCAGCCCGACCCACGTAGAGAAGCTGCTGCTCTAGGTGCTAGTGAGTCTGCTCTCCCTGGTACTGCGCCTGCTGCGGCCTTGCACACCTTTACGCTTGACTCAGGTGCTTCCCGCTGTTTCTTTCGCGACAGTACCACCCTCACTCCTCTCTCTGCACCTGTACCGGTCAGACTGGCTGACCCATCAGGGGGCCCAGTTCTTGCCCGTTCGTCCACTGTTCTCTCGTGTCCCGCGGTTCCGTCCGGCTCACTCTCAGGTCTTCACCTCCCCTCGTTCTCTACAAACTTGGTGAGTACCGCTGCCCTCCAGGATGCGATGGTCACTACCACCACTCTTGGGGGTCAGCGTGTGCCGATCTGCACGTGTACACGGACGGGCCATCACTTGGCCACGTTCACCCGTCGGCCTGGGTCGAGACTGTACACACTTGCTACCGAGCCTCCTTAGGTAGCTGCGTCTGCCCAGGTGTCCGCGTCAGGTCCGGTAGCACCCCCCTGCTCGTGTCGCCTCCTATAGCACCAGACTCTCCTGTGGCACGACCGCCTTGGTCACCCCTCCTTGCCACGCCTTCGTGGCATGCACTGCCGCCTCCTTGTTTCTTGTCTTCCCAGGTCTCTGCCTCCCTTCCCGCCCTCACCTGCCCCGCCTTGCCTTCCTTGCGTCGAGGGGCGGCAGCGCGCCGCTCCTCGCTCCTCCTAGTTTCCCCCGACAACTGCTCCCCTGCAGACTCTCCACATGGTCATGTGGGGCCCAGCCTGCGTCACTCAACAAGGCCGCGAGCGCTACTTTCTGCTGATTGTTGACGACTACACGCGTTACACCACGGTCTTCCCCTTGCGTAGCAAGGGTGAGGTCCTTGATGTCTTGATCCCTTGGATCCGCGCAGTCCGTCTCCAGCTCCGCGAGCGGTTCCGAGAGGACCTTCCTGTCCTGCGTCTGCACTCTGACAGAGGTGGTGAGTTCTCCTCCGACCTCTTGCGGGATTTTTTTCATGGGGATGGCATCCTCCAGTCGTTCACACATCCTCTTCCAGCAAAATGAGATTGCTAAGCGCCGCATTGGCTTAGTCATGGAGGTCGCTCGTACCTCCATGATCCATGCGGCTGCTCCCCATTTACTGTGGCCGTTTGCGGTCCGGTACGCGGCGCATCAGCTCAACCTCTGGCCCCGTATCTCCTTGCCGGAGACCTCGCCTACACTGCGTTGGACGAGAAGGTTGGCGATGCGTCAGTGTTCCGGGTCTGGGGCTCTCCTGCCTTTGTTCACGATACGTCCGCGGACAAGCTCTCCTCCCGTGCTATTCCCTGCGTCTTCCCGTAACGCGCCTGGCAAGCAGTTTTACCACCCCACCTCGTGGCGTATCCTTCCCTCTCAAGACGTCATGTTTGACGAGTCGGTTGCCTTTTACTGTCTCTTCCCCTACCGCTCTGCCCCTCTCCCACCCCCGCCGCTCTTCCTTGCTCGAGGTCCCCCTCCGGTAGACCCCCTCCCCCCTCAGGGTCCTGCTCCCTCAGGTGTGTCTCAGGTAGACCCAGTTCCCGGGACCGTGCCTGTCGAGGTCGCTGTAGACTCAGGTGCTGCTAGAGGTGTTGCGTCTGGGGGTGCTGCGTCTCGGGGTGCTGAGCCTCTGAGTGCAGAGCCTTGGGGGTGCTGAGCCTGCGGGTGCGTGTCAGAACATTTGTAGCTTATGCTGTTGTGTAGGCTATAGTGGGGTATCCCATAGGGGGTACAACCAATTAGGGTTTCATATTTGTACTCACTTCATTTCATAGTTCATTCATTCTTGTTCTAATCTTCTCATGGTATCGAGCAGGTTCCCCCTTGGGAACTGTGCTTAGGGCCCACCACATCGATTTTTTTTTTCCTGCCCGAAGCGCGCTCAGCCCGAGTCGCGCTCCGGGCCCTCACTTCGTCGAGCCGCCCTAGCGGCCCTTCACTGCGGCCCCGCCGCCTGTCTCAGCGGCCTCGCCACCCTATTCTGCGGCCCCGCCGCCTCTCTCGTTGCGGCCCCGCCGCCCTTCACTGCGGCCCCGCCACCCGTCTCAGCGGCCCCGCCGCCCGTCTTCGCGGCCCCGCCGCCTCTCTCCCAGCGGCCCCGCCGCCCCTTTTGCAGCGGCCCCGCCGCTCCTCTGCAGCGGCCCCGCCGCCCTACCCAGCGGCCCCGCCGTCCTACCCAG